CTCTACCCGCCGCCTTGACTACGCCACCGCTCTGGTCTCTGACCCTGCCTGTCCTCCGTCTCTCGGGGGTGCTCCTGCCCTCGGCAGTGACGTCCTGGAGGACCGCCAGTTCGAGCTTGCTTTCCTGTCCGAGGCTGCTCCCCATCTCTGTTCCATGCTGCTAGTCCCTAAGGGTGACCCAGACGCTTTCGACATCCCGACCCCTCGCACTTACGCTGAGGCGACCTCGGGACCCTGGGCCTCGCAGTGGATAGCTGCCATGGAGCAGGAGATGGCATCTTGGAGATCCACCGGCACCTTCATCGACGCAGTTCCCCCGCCTGGGGTGAACGTAGTCGATGGCTGCTGGCTCTTCAAGGTGAAGCGCCCTCCTGGAGAGCCGCCTGTGTTCAAGACGCGCTACGTGGCTAGAGGCTTCAGTCAGCGTGAGGGGGTGGACTTCTTCCAGACCTTCGCTCCGACCCCGAAGATGACTACTCTTCGGGTTTTGTTACACGTAGCAGCTCAGCGTGACTACGAGCTTCACTCCCTCGACTTCTCCACTGCCTTCCTTGAAGGCAGCCTACACGAGCGGTCTACCTGCGTCGCCCTCAGGGCTTTACTGGCACCTTCCCTCCTGGGACCCAGTGGCTCCTGCGGCGTCCCGTCTACGACCTGCGGCAAGCTCCCCGTGAGTGGCACGACATGCTGCGTGCCACCCTTGCTGACCTGCAGTTCTTTCCGTCTTCCGCAGACCCCTCACTCTTCGTTCGTGCTGGCCAGACTCCGTTCTACATCCTTGTTTATGTGGACAATCTGGTCTTTGCCACAGCAGACAGGGACGCACTGGCCTCCGTGAAGGCAGAGCTGCTGAAGAGACACACTTGCACTGACCTTGGAGAACTGCGCCGTTACCTTGGCTTGCAGATCTCCAGGGACAGAGCAGCGCGCACCATCACCTTGACACAGTCACACTTGGTGCGCCAGGTCCTTCAGAGGTTCAGCCTTCAGTTCTCTTCTGCACAGCCCACCCCTCTACCTGTAGACCACAGACTCTCCGCTCCAGTTTCTGAGGAGTCAACAGAGCCCAGTGGCCCTTACGCAGAGCTGGTGGGTTGCCTCATGTACCTGATGACTTGCACTCGCCCAGATCTCGCATACCCTCTCAGCATCCTGGCTTGCTTTGTGGCCACAGGTAGACACCGACCGCAGCACTGGTCTGCCGCTAAGAGGGTTTTGCGTTATCTTGCAAGTATATCGGACATGGGGGTAGTGCTAGGAGGACGCAGGCCAGTCGTCCTTACTGGACACACAGACGCTTCTTGGGCAGATGACGCCGAGACACTCAGGTCTTCCCAAGGCTACTGCTTCAGCCTTGGTTCTGGTGCCGTCTCGTGGAGAGCTACCCGCTCCTCGTCTGTTGCCCAGTCCAGCTGTGAGGCCGAGATCTACACTGGTGCCATGGCGGCACAGGAGCTCCGCTGGCTGACCTTCTTGCTCACTGACTTAGGTGAGCGGCCTAGCTCTGCCCCGGTCCTGTACGCTGACAACAGGGCCATGATCCTCCTGTGTCAGGAGCCTCGACTCGAGGGCAGAGCGAAGCATATCCAGTTGCGGTACTTTCTCGTGCGCGAGCTACAGCAGCGCCGCCAGGCTCGCGTAGTACACTTGGCCTCTGGTGCCATCACAGCTGATATCTTTACAAAGGCGCTTGCGCCTAAAGATCATCAGCGGCACTGTGTACAGCTTGGTCTAGTTCCTGTAGTCTCTCACTTGCTAGGGCCTTGATTTTGTACTGTCCTTTATTTATATATTTACTCAGACTGGACTTGTGTCCTCTCCTAGTGGCTGGACTTGTAGTGCCGCCCTGGTCTTGTTCTTGTCTTGCCTGTACTCTTGTTGACTGGTCTTTAGACCCTTGCCTCAGTGGCTGGACTAGTAGTGCCACCCTGAGCTGCTTGTTCAGGACCTGCCCCTATGCAGTCTAGGGGGTGTGTCAAACATGAGTCTATCTAGTGTTTGTATAGACTGTATAGGGTCACCTCTTAGAGAGTACAACCCTTAGATATGTATGCTTGTACCCATGTTCTCTAATCATTCATTCTCTCAGTTCTAAGACTGTTTCCACGAGCCTATGCTCATATCGGTATGCAACAGCAGAATCCGCCTTCTGTTAACACTCCAGGTGTTTCTTGGACTGCACCTGCAGCGCAACAACAACAATCACAGACAACAGCACATCAGCAAGCGTCAGTACAGCCACCAGTTTCAACGCAATCAATTTCATATGCGTTCAGTGGAATGAGCCTTGATGGCTCAACTTATATGCGTGGAGCCACAGCTCCAAGTACTGGTTCGTTCGCTTTCTCACCTTTTGTACAGCAGCCACAGTCGCAGCAGTTTCAGCATCCTTTCATCTTCGGTCGTTCCCCTGCTCAGCAACAACAGCAACAGCAACAGCATCATCAGCAGCCACAGCAATTCCAACAGCAACAAGAACAACAGCAACAGCAACAACAGCAACAGCCGGGTATTATTTTTCAGCCTCCAAATTTACTTAACAGCACACAGATAAAAACCATTATACCTTTTAACGGAGTCGACTTCTACTCCTGGAGCTTTGAGTTTGAGCTTCTGGCGCAGTCCGCTGGGCTATGGCCGTTCTTCACCGGCGAGTTCACGTATCCTGTCGTGGGAACACAACTGGAGCAGCAGAGTTTCTTGCACGCCTCTCTCGGGGCGTATACAGTTCTTGTTCGAAACCTTACGTTGAAGGAGCAGCTCGGCGTCCGATCATTTCACTCAAGCTTTACACCAGCCGAAACTGCTTGGAATCATCTGAAGGGGGTATACATGGCAAAGGATACAATAACAGTGAGTAAAATACTTTCGCAGCTGACAAGTGTGCAGATGATGACAAACAAAAACGTCATGGACTACGTTAATCGCGTCCGTACACTACGAGATCAACTGGAGAAGAGTGGAGGATACTTCCCTCGTGAGATGTATCTCACTGTCCTTCTTGCTGGTCTTGGACCTGAATGGCGACAGACGCGCGCCTTCCTGTGAATGAACCCGAACCTTTCCGAAGCCGAAATCTCTTCATATCTTCAAGCAGAGCAGCAAGATCTTGACCTGCAGTCTCAACGCAATCAGAAGAAAGGGGTTCATTTAAGTTTTACTCCAATCCAGAACCACAGCAACGACATCCTCCAAAATATCCATTCTGCCATTTTTGTAAGAAACCATGACATACTTACCAAAACTGTCGCAGCCGTCATCAAAATCGCCGCAGCACTTCTCAGCCATATCACCGATCGCAGCAGTTACCGAAGACACAACAGCCACCGCAGCAATTAATGTCTCAGCAGCAGCAGATGCCGGAACCGCCGCAAAATCCATCGACGTCGCAGCATCGCCCACCGGTCTTTGCATCTGCCAGATCAGGAAAAGGGGTTTTTGGATGTGTTACAACAGTCGATGTTTCAGAAGCAGATTTCGAGGCACATCTTGAAGAAACTACAAGTTTACGCTAACCTTGCTCGAGTTATTTCAGGTCCAAATACTTGGTATCTTGACAGCTGTTGTGGTTGGCACATGTGTTCCTCTAAAAACAAGCTTCATCACCAACCAGCGACCGCTTCGTCGTCCGATACCTGTCATATTTGCAAACGGACAAACGATTATGGCACGTTCTGTTGGGAGCGTTCTGCTCGAATCTGTGAGAGTACGACCTCGTTACACCACTTGGCCTTTTCCATATTTCATCTTCATTTCATTCCTCTTTTTATCTCATCTCCTTTTGCCTCATATTCCCCATTTTCCATTATCCTTTGGTTTCTTCCCTTATTCTAATTATATCACCGACCAAGCATGGAATGTTCTAGACACGCTATCTAGCGTAATCCTGTCGTAATCTCTTACAGCCAATAGCCTCGCGTGGCTATACGCAGGGTGATTCTATTTTCTAGAAGGGTCTATTCCTTTAGATAGGATAAACCTGGTTACTTGATGTACTCTGGAAGTATAAAAGCGCCTTGTACTGATCGATAGTGCAACCTTTCCTCGACACATTCGATCCTGTGACACTTGGTAATCAGAGCTTTTCTTACTCGGCCGCGCTCAACAAAGCAGCAGCAGCGGGAAAACCTGCCTCGAAAAACCGCCGGGGGCGACCAATTCGACGCCGATTCTGGTAAGCACCAGCTCCGCGATTTTCGAATTACCCCCTCCGTGCGTGTTTTGAACAGGATGGCAACCTTCGACAACGCCGAGGTTACCCAGCAGCTCTTCGCGCGCATCGCAGCCCTTCAGGAGGAAATGCGAGCGGATCGCGAAGCGTGGCGAAACCAGTTCGAGCGAGTAACTCGACTCGCCGGAGCGCAGCACGAGACGACAACGGCGACGACGCAGCAGTCGCAGCAGTTTCTCGAGGCTCCGAAACCGCGCCCACCTGAGCCGTTCGATCCGAGCGATCGAAACTCCGACGCCCGCAGATGGATCGCCGGGATGGAGATCTACTTCGCAGCCGTCGGATGGAGCTCGCCAGTCTGGGACGGTCAACGTGTACGACTCGCGGCGACACTGATGCGAGGGCCGGCACTCGAGTGGATTGACGGCAACAGCACCTTCATCCACGGTGAAGCCACGTGGCAGCAGTTCCGCGCCGACCTGCTGAAACGCTTCGAACCGATAAATTCAAGTTTTCTTGCCCGCGAAAAAATTCATCGTCATCGACAGTTCGGGAGTGTATCACAGTACACGCAGCAGATGGAAGAATTTTATAACCGCATTCCCGACCTGACCGAAGGGGAAAAAGTGCAATCGTGCCTCGCAGGGCTGAAGACCGAAGTCAAACGACAGGTGGCAGCGTCAAACTACGCGAGCTACAGTGACGTCGTTTCGGCCGCGGAGCGCTTCGACATGGTCAACGCCGGAACACGACGGACGCACGTCGGCAGTACGCGACAGGGCGACCGCTCGGCTCACCCCACGTTCGCCGACCCGATGGAAGTCGACAGATTCGAGGGGCGGCCACGTCCGAAAAACACCAACTACACGTGTGATTTTTGCGGGGTGCCGGGCCACCGAATCTTCGACTGCAACAAAATGAAGGCCGCACGCGCAGAGTATCGGGCACGCAACAGTGGCGGAAATCTTCCGGCCAATCAAAAGACAAAAAACGGGAGTCGCCAGTGATTGCGGATCTAGCTGGCGAAAATAAAAAGATCCGGAAACGGCCGCGGGATTCCGAGAAAATCAACTTCGACGAAGCTGATTCGACGCGAGCAGGAGGAAATGATGGGGGAAAATCTCCACCCCACGACCAGTCTTCGCCAGGGAAATTCGCCGAGGGAAAATCAGACTCCGCGAAAAAAGACTCTGCCGAGACGGGGAAACTCCTTGAAGACCCAAGAAATTATAAGAATTCGTTAAAGCTATCCTATAAAGATGCTTTAATGAAAACTTATGATTTTCGAGGGGCTAGAGCCTTGGAGAAAATACGGGAGGGACTCCAAAAGAAGCAGAAAGCTGTGGAGATTATACCGGTACCGGACAACTTGGGGACCAAATTAAGGAGTGTGGAAAGAAGCCGACCTTTCCACGGAGTCAACATCCTCTCCCGACACCAGCCCACAACGACTACCCGCTCCCCAGGGAAGACGTCGGTGGAGCTGAAGCAGCTCAAGAGGAAGCTGGGGGTCTACAAGAAGCTGCACAAACCCCGAACTCCCTCTACGGATGCATCCAGTTCTTCGGCATCAACGACACGCACAGTCGTCAAGGAAACTCCGGGCCCTGGAGAAGAGCCGTTCTCCAAGCAGCCTCGGCCAGCTGCTAGCTCAGGAGCAGATAGCAACGAAAAGGTGTGTACAGATTATTGGGATGTACCCTATGACCCCATTAATGAGACTATCTTTGGGTACTCCGAGCAACGCCCGCCTCTCGTGCTCGAGGTCATCTGCAAAGGACGACGCCTCCAAGCACTCGTGGACAGCGGAGCGTCTCATACCGTCTGCGACAAGGCAATAATCGACCGACTTCGCGAAGAGTACAAGCCTTCAAAATTCTCTGCAACGATGGTGGATGGCAGCAAGTTACCAGTACACGGCGAAGCAGTGCTACACCTACAAATTGGACCACTGCGCTGGAGACCTGCACTCCCCATCACCAACATCAAAGGGCTTGACTTGATCTTCGGGCGAGACTTCCTGAAAAGATTCAACCCCGAGATCAACTGGGTGAACCGCACCGCAAGCATCTACAACAATGGACGGAGAGTGCAGCTACCCAACTGGGACGATACAGGAGATATCCCAGTGGAGACACTCGCACGATTCGAGAAGGATGTGAAGCGGACCGACACCGGGTTCCTGGCGATAGCAACAGAGGTGGAGAATGACGGAGAGAAAGCCTCGGAAACTCCAGAAAAAATCAAGGAATTACTGAAGGAGTTCCAAGACATTCTTCCTGACGATCTTCCGAACGAGCTACCGCCATACCGAACGCATCAACACGAGATCGTGGAGGAACCGGGTTCGAAGCCGACCTTCCGAGCACCATATCGACTCAGCCCTACGGAGCTGACCGACATGAAGAAGCAGATCGAGTATCTCCTAGCTAAAGGACTCATCCGACCATCCACTTCGCCGTACGGTGCCCCAGTACTCTTCACACCGAAACCGGACGGAAGCCTGCGCATGTGCATCGACTACCGAGCTCTTAACAAGCAGACCATCAAGAATAAATATCCGATACCGCGAATCGATGACCTGCTTGACCAGCTTCGGGGAGCTACGGTATTTTCCAAACTGGATCTGCGGTCCGGATACTGGCAGATACGGATGGCGGACAACTCTATCCACAAAACTGCTTTCCGAACTCGGTACGGATCGTACGAGTATTTGGTCATGCCGTTCGGACTCACCAACGCGCCGGCAACGTTCCAAGCCGAAATGAACCACATTCTACGACCACTTCTGGACGAATGCGTGGTGGTGTACCTGGATGACATACTCATCTACTCGCGCGACATGAAGCAGCACGTCGAACACCTGCGACGCGTCTTCGAAATTCTTCGACGGGAACGATTCTACGTCAAACTGTCCAAGAGCGAATTCGCCCTTGAAAAGGTCCAGTTCCTAGGACACATGGTAAGCGCTCAAGGAGTTCACGTCGACCCCAAGAAAATCGAAGCCGTACGTACGTGGAAGACACCCGAGAACGTGAAGGAGTTGCAGCAGTTCCTAGGCTTCGCTAATTACTACAACAGGTTCGTGCCACAGTATGCGAAACTCGCGGCACCACTCACGAATCTGTTGAAGAAGAACACGCCCTACAAATGGGAGACGAAGCACCAGGAAGCCGTGGAGCAGCTGAAACAAGCACTAACATCCGCACCGGTGCTCATCTTGCCAGATCCCGAACGTGACTACGTCATTGAAGCAGACGCCAGTGATCAGGCCGTGGGGGCAGTCTTGATGCAAGACCAAGGGAATGGACTGCAACCCATTGCCTACCTCAGCAAGAAACTGCACGGGGCAGAACTCAACTACCCGATACACGACAAAGAGGCTCTTGCTATCATCATCGCCTTCAAAGCGTGGAGATGCTATCTCGAAGGACGACGAACGACCGTCTACACCGACCACTGCAGCCTGAAATATTTGAAGACACAACCCAACCTTTCCAGGCGGCAGGTCCGGTGGATCGACTTCCTCGAGACACACTTCCACTACGACATCGTGTACAAGCCCGGCCACAAGAATAAAGCAGACGCGCTCAGCCGGCCTGCACACGTTGCCGCGATTCAGGTCGAAGGGATGAATCCACTACTCAAGGGACTCTTCACACACGGGTATACCATCGACCCCGAAATTTCCTTGGCAGAAAAGCGACATCTGCTACAGTGGGACAGTGACATCGCGTACCGGAAAGGATCAGCAAAAATCTGGGTACCCAATTACCCTCCTTTGCGCCAGTTACTACTCGAAGAATACCACGACGTCCTGTACGCCGGACACTTCGGTAGCAACAAGACGCTCACCGGTATCGCCAAACACTACTACTGGCCCCATATGGCAGACGACGTCCAGAAATTCGTCACCTCGTGTGATACATGTCAGCGGATGAAGAGCAGCAAGCAGAAAAAGGCGGGACTACTGCAGCCTCTTCCTGTCCCAGAACAACCATGGCAAGTGGTTAGCCTAGACTTCATCACCGGGTTACCACCTACCTCCAGCGGTCATGACGCCATCCTTGTCGTCATTGACAAGTTCTCCAAAATGGGACACTTCATCCCGACGCACACGACGGCACGCACCGAGGAGACAGCACAACTCTTCGTTCGTCACATCATCTCACAGCATGGCATCCCAACTACACTCATCTCCGACCGAGACCCCAAGTTCACTAGCAAGTTCTGGAAGGAACTTATGTCTCTTCTCGGAACCAAACTCGCCATGTCGTCCGCATACCATCCGCAGACAGACGGACAGACCGAGCGCCTCAACCAAATTGTTGAGCAACTCCTCCGAGCAGCCTGCAAGGACGACATCTCCAAATGGGACTTGCACCTGCCCGTACTCGAGTTTGCTTACAACAATGCTACACATGCTGCTACTGGACAGACGCCGTTCTTCCTCTGCTACGGACGCCACCCACTCACACCACAGAAACCGACAACACCAGCAACAGTCCAACCTGCACACGACTTCATCACAACCATGCATCAGCTTTGGGATCGGACCCATAAGCGCCTCCTTGACATTCAACAGCACCAGAAGCGCCAAGCCGATCGCCATCGCAACGACCACACCATTTCCGTGGGAGACCAGGTGCTTCTCGACACCCGTAACCTGGACATCAGCCATCTCCCATCTAAACTTCGACCTCGCTTTTGCGGGCCTTTCCTCGTTGACGCACAGGTCACTCCTGTTACCTTCCGCTTACGCCTGCCAGCTACCTGGAAGATTCACAACGCCTTCCATGTCCAACTTCTGAAGCCCTATCGGGATCCTAACACGATCTTCGTCGGACGCCAACCGCCGCCGCCGCCGCCCGTCCTCGTCCAAAATGAACCCGAATACGAGGTCGAGTCCGTGCTTGCACACCGCCGACGTCGGAACGGTACCGTGGAGCTTCTTATTCGCTGGAAGGGTTATGATCCTTCTGAGGACAGCTGGGTCTCTGAAACCGATATGGGTAACGCCCGTCGTCCTCTGCATGACTACCTTGTAAAGCAGGGTGTTACTTCTACCACCCAGCTTTGAGGGGGGGAAGTGTGAGAGTACGACCTCGTTACACCACTTGGCCTTTTCCATATTTCATCTTCATTTCATTCCTCTTTTTATCTCATCTCCTTTTGCCTCATATTCCCCATTTTCCATTATCCTTTGGTTTCTTCCCTTATTCTAATTATATCACCGACCAAGCATGGAATGTTCTAGACACGCTATCTAGCGTAATCCTGTCGTAATCTCTTACAGCCAATAGCCTCGCGTGGCTATACGCAGGGTGATTCTATTTTCTAGAAGGGTCTATTCCTTTAGATAGGATAAACCTGGTTACTTGATGTACTCTGGAAGTATAAAAGCGCCTTGTACTGATCGATAGTGCAACCTTTCCTCGACACATTCGATCCTGTGACAGAATCAATCGACACGGGATACACACTCCATGTTACCAATGTTTTAATTGTCGCCGATCTTGGCTTCAATCTCCTTTCCACGGCTCAACTTCTGGCACACAAAATTCGGACATAGGGCAATTGTAAAACAATGGATCAAGAATTATGGCACAGCCCAACAAATACTTACCTCGGCCGTGCCGCTACTCAACATGGTGTTTCCGTTCTTCAGTTTACGGCACAAGGAACTTCTGGTGACTCTGAACGCGTTCTTGCCCTTGGTCCCGGGGATCATCCAGAAGAAACAGATTATCAACAAGTGGATATTGATTTTCGAGCAACTACTGTGCCAACATCTTCTCGAACTGCAGCCGCCGTACTCACCGCCTTAGATACCTGGGAGTTTAGTACCGCCGATGCAGGCGCCAACGCTTGGCAAACCTTTTATACTACTCGCGAGGCTCTTCAAGGAAATCCAGCTCCACTTTGGGGTGAAATTAGCGGCCTTGCCGCTGATGAACCATATGTCGATAAAGAAGCTGAACAGGAAGAAGTCGCTGAGCAGCCAACTCCACCAGTCGTTGTCATAGAACCTCCTGCCCCCACATCAACAGAAGCAGCATCAGAAGTTTTCGTCACAACAACAGTAGCAACATCAAACGTCACGCTACCTCTTACCCGTTTCGTCGAAGGAGAGATTGACATGTCACCAGCACTTTCTCCTTTTATAATTTCTTCATTTTATACTAACTCCGATTTCTACCTGCGATCATCAGGACACAAAGCCACAAAAGATATCTAGCATCAGCGATTAGGACATCTGTCGCAAGGGATTTTAAATCATTCAATCCGCGCAGCAGTTCTTGATAAAAACAGTCTACTTTTACCTGACGGCACGGAGATGAAGCCGCAGTCTCGTCCAACGGTTTGCACCACGTGCCTGGTCGCCAACCTTACCCACGATCCGTTTCCAAGTCACTTTCCTGGCTCAACACGTTATAAGCTGATGCAGAAAGTTTACATCGACATACTAAACTTACCTGAAGCAGGACCTAAAGACGAGCAGTACGTGATAATATTCATTGAAGCATCTACACGCTACGTCTGGACAGCAAACCTTCCCGCTCACTATCTCGCTCACTCCGTCTTCGTCGCATGGCTCGCCGTCGCTGAACGAGAGTCTGGTGTCAAACTTCAAGAATTTCAGAGTGATGGCGCAAGGGAATACATGAGTAACACCTTCTCCGAACACCTGCAGACCCTCGGCATCAAACGGAAGCAGTCACTACCGCACGCACACCAACAGATGGGGGTAGCAGAGAGGATGAACCGAACTCTGCAAGAGAAGATGCGTGCTCTGCTGACACAGGCAGCTCTTCCACCTCGTTTTTGGCCGTATGCGATGGACCATGCGGTGATGTTACACAACCTGCTGTCTTCCACATCACTGCCTGAGTTTTCTTCTCCGCACCTGCAGTGGACACGTACAGTGGGAAGCACCAAACTTTTACGAGTTTTTGGGTGTGTCGTGCAGTTTCGTCCTCCAACTGCAGCACTTGGCAAATTTTCAGAAAGGGCAAAATGGGGGGTACATCTCGGCATAAAAAAACAATATCATGCGTGGAAGATTTTGGATCTTCGCTCCAACCAAATCGTCCCTTCACGTGATTGTCTCTTCTACGAAAGACTCACCTTGCCCGTTTTTCGTGCCCACCAGGCAGCAGCTGCCAACCCCGCCAGGCTGTTCGAGGGTTCGCGTGCATTTGCAACCAACGAAGCCGAAGCTGATATACAGGACGAAGCAGTCTCTGAAGCATTCGAAGCTGTTGCAACTGACATTCCCGAACCTGTAACCTCGACTGGCATACCTGAGTTTATTCCTCTTGCAGATGCTGACTCAGATGATGTTCGCGAAGTTCACCTCAGTTATGAACGCGATCGCCAACAGCAGCCGATGCCCGTCGTCTCCAACGAAGCAGTTCGTGTTACACCTGACGAAATTGGGGGGGAAGACGGACCAGAAGAAAAATTTGCAGGTGCAAACGAAGAACGTTCGCGTTTTACAGAAACAGGATTACAGATACTTGGATTTGCAGTCGCAGTACAGTGCAACAACAGTAAGATACCTGAACCAAAAACCGTTCGACAAGCTCTTACAAGTCCTCACCGAGAAAAATGGCGCGAAGCCATGGATAAGGAGCTAGCAGCTCTTAAGAATCGTGGCACATGGGATCCAATACCGACTTCAGGAGTAAAAGGGAAGAAGGTTCTTACCGAAAAATGGGTCTTCCGCATCAAGACTAATGCAGATGGGTCGTTTGAGAAATTCAAGGCGCGATGGGTCGTCCGCGGATTCGAGCAGACTTACGGCATCAACTACGAACTAACTTTTGCTTCTGTCGGTCAACATACAAGCGTTCGGATTTTACTCTGTGTCGCTGCCTGCCGTGATCTACGTCTTCGACAAATTGACGTGTCAAATGCGTTTCTCTACGCACCCGTCGACGCACTCATCCTGGTAGAGTACCCACATTCCTATGCTACTTACCCACCGAGCGTATGCCGTCTCCGAAAGTCGCTATACGGCATTAAACAGGCTCCACGGCTCTGGCAGCAGTATCTCCATTCACAGCTTATCACTGCCGGGTTTCGTCAGCTACCTCATGACCAGGGAATGTATCTACTGACCGACGGCAGCAACTATATTTTACTCGTTGCCTACGTCGACGATATTCTCTACGTCAGTACTACCGATTCTCTTGCCGATATCTTCATACTGAAACTACAGAAAACTCTACAGCTTACAGTCTCCGAAACAGTCTCACAGTTTCTTGGTCTGAACATTACTTGTTCACCGACGTCTATTCATCTCACTGCTTCTAAGTACACAGCGATGCTCGCTGCCCACTTCAATCTCACTCCTACTGCAGTTTCTACACCGTACCGATCTGTACCGACTGACTACAAACTGAATACCGCACTGTTGAGTCCAACCGGTTTACAGATCTATCAACAGCAGTTAGGCTGTTTACTCTTCGCCGCTGTCACTTGTCATCCCAATCTAGCTTACGCGGCCAGTCAGCTCGCTCAGTTCCTACGCCGACCCGAAGAAGAACATCAACTCGATCTTCGTGCGCTTCAATATTTCGTCTCGACACCTGACGTCGGTTTAGTCTACAACGTCATCAGTTGCAAAACGCTATACCTACACGGTTTCGTCGACGCCGACCACGCCGCTGACACTACTAATCGACGCTCTCGTACTGGGTTCATCTATCGACTTGAACCTATCGGGCCTATCTTTTGGAATTCGACGAAGCAGGAGTTGATGGCTCTCTCCTCTGCTGAATCTGAGTTTATTGCTGTCTGCACAGCAAAACACGAAGGACTTTACCTACAGGAACTATTGGAAGAAGCGAAGTTGACAACAACTACCCAGTTTACCCTACAGTGCGATAACCAAAGTGCAATTCGCATCGCGCATCAGCCTGGTTTCGTCAACAGGACGAAACATATTTCTCTGCGTTACTTTTTCGTCAAGGATGAAGTCAAGAAGGGGAGAATGCGATTGGTCTACTGTTCGACCAATGAAATTGCTGCCGACTTCCTCACGAAGAAGCTGACACGACAGAAGTTCCAGTACTGTAACAAGCTTTGCGGGATCTTCAAGAAGTGACACTATCGAACTTCCAGAAATGAAGGGGAGTGTTGTGATATAATTGATACTTAGCATTTCTGTAAGTCGATTAAGTGTAGTTAGTGTCGAATCCTACAGTAGAACATAAGTCCGTAGGATGACGTCAGCAAATAGCGCTCGTCATGAGGACAGTCGTTTCAGTCACGCGAACAGTCGCATCTCTTCATTATCATCTAGGGCGCATAGCGCGATAGTGACGAACAGGTACATTAGCGAATAGGTACTTTCCTAGAACTAAAAATCCTTGTTAGGTCTTTTCATTATCAACTTTGATTACTCACAAGTTCACGTACTCAGGTTATTCTACCTTGATTATTACTTTTTACAAGATTTCCGCTGTCTTACTAGTCTACCATTCCAGTAAAGATCCTGGACCAACACTTGAGGATTTCCAAGTGTTCGTGTTTGCAGTTTTATACTTAGTCTTCTACAACATTGGACAAGTTATTTCACCTCAAACCCTCAAGTCAATGATTCTCTCAACTGGTATCTCGCTAAGAGCGTGTTCCTACCAGCCTCTTCCCAAGCAACATCTTCCCAGACTTGCATGCTACAGTGTCACAAATTTTGACGCGAAATGCTTACTGCGATTCCGTAAAGTGCGAAGTGAGAATCGCCTTCCCGAGATTCAACGGCGTGTTTTAAAACCTCTTTTTAGACGAGCAGATTTTCAGACGCGCGCGAATCTGCACAGTTAATTTTCGACGCCAACTGGTTATGTGGTTGAGAGCGGTGGCACGCAAATATGAAACGGGAGTATTCCGAAAAGTGATCCTGAGAACACTCTAAGGTCACACGCAAGTCTAGGAAGAGGTTGCCGGGGAAAAGGCTCGTAGGAACACGCTCTAAGTCGCTCCTAGATGTCACGTCTTTGCCCTCCACCCCTCCCATTACGCCTTGCCAGCTCACTGCCAGCGCTTTGCCACCAGCTCGCCGCCCGCCCACTACCAGCGCATTACCGCCGCCAGTGCGTCGCTCGCTGCCG